ATCTCTTTGACATTAAAAAATTCCATCTGAAGCTTTCATCGCAAAGGGAAGGCTAGAGAGGAGGGGCTGTAGTCTTAGCTAGATAAATAGCCAACAATAAAAACTATATGTAAGCAGAGAATCTAACAGATGTGGAAAAGGGGATTAAGTAGTGAAGAAGATAACTTATTACAGGTTACAAATTGTGAGGAAGGATTGCCAGACACCAAGCTGAGTGAGACTTGGCAAAAGGAATTAAAACAAATACAAAAACTTCTGGAACAAAGTGAATAAAAAGAGAACATGGAGAGAAAGAATAAATAAGGTTGCTATGCAGTTAGCAGGGGTTCGAGGTGAAAGATTATTTTTATATAGTCTCAGAATTATAGTGGGTCTTGAGTCTGTGCTACCATGTTTTCTTCTCTCCTAAAGATTAGTCTTCAGAGGGATAGCAGAAATAAGGGGAAATAAGTTTAAATTATTATTTATAGAGTGTAATCAGAAGATATCCCCATGCTCAAATCTGTGAGGCAGCTGATCTCTGTCCCAAATATGTGTCAAAAATTAGTTGTGTGACATTGCAACTCCATGAAGCAAGAATTTGATACATTTAATCAGAGAATGGTTCTATAGGATAGAAACAGTAGCAACGTTCATATTTTGGATAGGCAGTACAGCACAATCTTGGCGGCTATTGGGCTGTTACCCTAACATGGACAGACTAGAAGGCTTTCAAAAAACACTTCAAGAAAAATTATTTTAAATAAAAGCAAATTTGAGTAAAATACCTTGGTAAACTTGCCCTGCGGCCAAGGGCTTTATTTCCTTGCCAGCAGAATTGATTGTCTAGATAAGAGAAAAGGGAACATGCATGTCTGGAAGTTATGTCTGATCTTTTCTTTCAGCCATTGGAAACACCTACAAGGTAGAGTTTTTCCATTTGGACTTTGTTAATACTTTGGACTTGACATTAGAGGGGCAGTTATTAGTTCAATATAAGGAGAGGGCCAATAGCACAAGTACTATTAGATTTTTTAAAAAAATTGACCGAAAAGAAGATAAGGGAGATAAGCTTATGCTGAAAGGAGATCTGTGGGGCTGGAAGTTGCCAGCGTCGTCCCATTATGCTTCTGTGTTTTATTTCATGTTTTTCTGAATCATCAAGGCACTGAAAATAGGGGGTTGCTACTGAAATGTGCTGCTGGCATAGCCTTGGGAAGGTCTTAATGATCATATGGGGAATATTATGAAGTGGCACCTGCAGATATAGAAGTGACAGGAAGTATAACACTACACAGAGTTGGGTGCTTAGTAGCCCAAAACACTTAACTGCCTGTGTTTCTGTTACAAGCTGAAGATCCACGTTTGGAAGCAATAGAAGAAGATAAGATTTGAATGAATTAGTTGGGTGCAAGAACCTCAGATGCAATTTAGCCTTAGTAATAGCCTTGGTAACCTCCTGTCTGCCAACTGTGGTGCTAGGAAATGCCACTTCCTTATCCAGAAGCCTGCTGGACACTTAAAACTGTTCCTAGGGTGGCCAAGGCAGAGAAAAGCATATCTCACAGGCTCTTACGGGGTTTAGGATAAGGACATGAGGTTGTTGAGAGTGCTTAGGGCTTGCCATCAGTCTATTGGAGCAACAGCAGAAGGGGAAAAAGACTATTTCAGCTGTAGGGCAGTGTTAGCTCAAGGATAAATGGTGTATGGACTGACCATGATGAAGTTAACATTGGAAATCAATATTCCTCCTCACATCAGCAAGGAGGTGCATCAGTGGGATGTTTCATGACAAGAATCCAAACTGTTTCCAAGATAGATGCTTTTTTTGAGAGGGAGCCTATAAAGTGATCACTATAGTATGTGGGACCCAGGCTTTCTACCCCTAGGGTTCTTTCGTGGAGTTTCAGAGGGTGACTGCAGGAACCTGGCGTGGAGTATGCTCTGTCTTATATGAGGCAGGAGCAGATGTATCCTTTCCCCTGTTCAGATCCCCAGCTGCATCCAGCCTTGCCTTCCAGACCTATGTTTCTCTGCTCTTGACCTAGCAGAGAGAGATGATGAAACTTTCTCAACCACTCAAAAGCACTTCTTAGGCAGTCCAGGGGATTGTGGTTGTGCAGTTTCAGCTCTGTCTTTCAGCTGAACACCCACATAGATGAGTAAATGCAGTTTGTACAGAATTCCACATCTTTCACCCGCAGAGTGCAAGCACTGGTCTCTGACTCCCAACAGACTTTTGAATCTCTGGAGCAAGGAAGTCTTCCTATAGATGAAAATCAAAACTGCTCTAAAATGAGAGTGTTCTTTTCAGATCTTCTCAGCTCCTATCCAAAGAGTTCTTTAAGGGTCATGAGTTGTCACAGCAGTCTCCAGTAAGAGAGGGGTACAAACCTATTTTAAGGTGTGTGAACAGGCTAGACAAGTGATAATGACCATAGTGCCTGGGACACCTAGGAACTGAATCCATGGCCCAGCAAGCTTCTTTGAGCAAAAGTTCCCTTTGAGCAAGAGTTCCCTTCTGGTTTGGCTTCCAGGACTTCCTGATCTCAATTCACTTCCCGTTGCCTTAGGATGATGTGAGAGCATTGTTCTGTGGCTCACAGACTTGTCTGTATTGGGGCAATCACTAGTACTGGCAGCAGAGCCTTGCAGAAATCCCTTGCTGAATGACAGGGTCAGGGGCATTCACTCTGTGGGAGACTGGTAGGCTAATCCAGGCCTTCTCTAGTAAAGTTTTGCAGTCTGAGAACTACATACGACGTTTTCTCACACTTGGATTTTGTTTCATTTCCTCTCTGTCATGCAGACACTATATTGATAAGTAAGTTTTGCAGTTCCCTGTACTGAAGTGATGAACTGTTGTTTTCTGGACCTGGAAAAATGTGGTGAAAGCATCAGTCCAAAACACTGTCTAATTTTTTTTCCTTTTTAGATGTTAGTTCCTGCAGAAGTCAGCAGCTTTTCTCCCAACTTCTCTCAGTAATGCTAAACACTTCTGAAGGATGCATGAGGTGACTACTAGGCAACTGTGCCATATTTCTAAAGCACTCAGGGTGGATGAATCCAGAGACAAAGAGGGGCCATCTGGAACAGGGAGAGAACTTATGAAGCTGACTCAGGACATCTTTGATTGTCTTTAGGTTCTGTCTTTGTCCAGAGGAGCAAAATCCCCCTGCTCGATACCCTGCCAAAGCCCTGTTTTCTCTATACGATATATCTCGTCATGTCACGACATCAGTCTGTGTGAATGATGAAACTGCAGTGTCATTATGATGTGTGATGTCAATCTCTGACTAGGTATAGTTAAGAACCATTTGTGACAGGTTCCCTACCCCTATCTCTTCTCCTGACATTAGTTACTCTGGTGACTTGGGCAAGTGGAAAGCTGTCAGTAAATCAGATTACTATTTAAGTGACTTTCTCGGGGTTGTCTCATTAGAAGTTCACACCTAGCAAGGAATCATTCCCCAAAATGCATTTTCAACATAATATATAGTGTTTCTGCCTCCAGTGAGACTTTATCCAGAGCCTCTCAAAATCTCAAAAAGCTTCTATTGATTAAGCCTGTAGTGACAGAGTTTGAATTTGAAGGGCATGATGACAACCTTATCCATCATATTTTTTATATCTGCTTCTCTCTAAAGACTTCATTTTGAAATGCAACTTTCAGCTTGTGTGAAGTGGTGAGCTGTACCAGCAGAAAAATAGAACCCATGCTGGTTTCATCCATAGAGTGGATAAAAAGTAATACAAAATCTAACTTCTCACTTCACTGACCCCATTGTCCCAGGATAGCTGCCTCAGCAATAATGTAGCTGACTTTAAAGTTGCTTTACTGTGATTTACTGTGATTTCTATTATTTCTTTTCTGAAATATGATTTTAAGGTGACACAGGAATAAATTGTGAACAAATTCACAAATTCCACATACAGGCCACACTTCCTGCTTCTGAAAACTGTTTCTACGCATTGCTGGCATACCTGGGGAAGGTTGAAATTGCACTGCTGCATTCCTCTTTACATAGGTGCCCATAATGCCTTTGTTAGGGCTTTTTCTGTGTTGGTTCTTAGATTCCTGTCATGTCTAGGGTTTCTACTTCTCACTGCTTGTCAGGTTTCTACTTCTCACTTCTTTCAGTGGGGTAAGAGTTTGCTAAATACTCTGGAAGCTTTGACTTCAGCAAAGTTGAATAATCTTTGTCCTCTTTTTAGCCCTGTACTGTTTTGCATCTTCATCATCAAGTGAAACAAATGAGTCTGTTCGAGAGAGTGAAAGTATCTGCAATGATGCCTCTTTAATATCCCTTTTGTGAATGTCTTTCACCACCTTTATTAATGTGTCCTTGCTCATGTTTCCTTTTCTTGTTCACTTTTTCAGGGCTGGAATCTGGCCACATCCCTGGTGCTGTGAACATACCCTTCCACTCATTCCTTTCCGAAACCGGACATGAGAAGAGTATCGAGGAGATCCAGGAAATATTCCGTGCGAAGAAAGTGGATCTCTCAAAGCCACTGACGGCCACGTGCCGCAAAGGTGTCACGGCGTGTCAGATTGCCTTGGCAGCCTTCCTGTGTGGCAAGCAGGATGTGGCTGTTTATGATGGTTCCTGGTCAGAGTGGTTCCACCGTGCCCCACCACACTACAAGGTCTCTGAGGTGAAGCGCAGCAAGGCCTAGAGGGAGGGCTTTGTCTCAGGCAGTGAGATCTAGCAGCTTTTTCCAGCCCAGGGTAATGCGAAAGGGAGGAGATAGAAGTAGCGGAAAAACATGCTGATTTGTATTTTGCAAATTTTTCTAAGAATGATCAGTAGATTTCTATTAATCTTCTGGTTTTTCATAATTAATAAAATCTAAGATGATGCATCTGTGAATACTTCGAACTCTTCTCTGTTACCTGTGACCTGCTTGTGTGGAGTGGGAAAAGCAGCTTTGCAACATGAAGGAGAATTATACACTTCCCTGGAGACTTGCAGAAATTCCAGTGGCCTGGTGAGAGCTCAGGTCTGGAGCAGGATGAATGAAAAGTCAGGGGCTAAAATATAGGACTGGGTGCTGGGCACAGGAGGGTCAAGCAATGGTTTTGTCAATAGCTCAATGTAAGACTTTTTGCCAGCCCACTCATGAGGGTGCCTTCCCCCATGCCAACCGGATCCAACCCATCAGGAGGTGTGTTGCCTTGCTGGGGTTCAGGTAAGGGACATCACAGAGGAACTTCCCAGCCCACTGATTATTACTCTCTTCTGGTTTTCCAGATAGGCAGCAATGAGGTCCCAACAAGAAGGCTGCAAACAATCAAGAGGAACCTCAGGGTCTTGGGTCAACAGATCAAGGGATCTGGGGCACAAGTTGTGTTCTGTTCTATCCTGTCAGTTGCAGGGAATGATGGGACAAGAAACAGGGAGGTCATGTAGATGAATACCTGGCTTTGAGACCGGTGTTACCAGCATAATTTTGGGTTTTTTGATTATGGGTGAGTTTATACAACATGGAACCTGTTGGCAACAAACGAGGTCCTCCTGTCTCAAAGGGGAACAGGATCTTAGCTCAGAAGTTAGCAAGGCTTACTGAGAGAGCTTTAAGCTAGATTGGAAGGGGGAAAGGGACAAAACCAAGTTTTCCAGTGATAAGCAATGGGATGGCATGCCAAAACTTGAGGAACTGAGTGGTCATACCATCCCTCAATCTGCTCCATGAGGTGTCAGCTACAATGAAGCACACTCAAAATGTTTTGACCAATGCACACAGCATGAGGAACAAACAAACAGCTTGAAGCTTTGGCCCAGTCCCAGAGATATGGTATCATTGGCATAAATGAAACTTGGAGGATGACTCCTGTGACTGGGCTGCCATGTTGGATGTTTACAGGCTATTCAGGAGGGATGGGCAGGCCAGGCGAGGTTGAATACGAGCCAGCAGTGCCCTGGCAGCCAGGAGGGCCAACCGTGTCCTGGGGGGCATCAGGCACAGCAACGCCAGCCAGTCGAGGGAGGGTCCCGCTCTGCTCTGCACTGGGGCAGCCTCACCTTGAATATTGTGTGCAGTTTTGGGCATCAACAATGTTAAGGAGCATCCAAAGGAGGGCAACAAAGATGGTGAAGGGTCTAGAGGGCAAGCCGTATGAGGAGTGGCTGAGATCACTTGGCTTGTTCAGCCTGGAGTCTACAACTTTCTCTTGAGGGGAAGCGGAAGGGCAGGCACTGATCTCCTCTCTGGTGACCAGTGACAGGACCTGAGGGAATGGCATGAAACTGTGTCAGGGGAGGTTTAGGTTAGATATTAGGGAAAGGTTCTTTTCCCAGAGGGTGATCCGTCGGTGGAACAGGCTCCCCAAGGAAGTAGTTCTGGCACCAAGTTCTGACAGAGTTCCAGAAGCGTTTGGACATTTTCAAGTGCATGGTGTGATTCTGGGGCTGTCCTGTACAGGACCAGGAGTTGGACTTCAACAATCCTATTGGGTCCCTTCCAACTCAGGTTATTCTACAATTCTATGATTCTCCTTGCTCTCTGATGAGGGTCAGGAGCTCATGTGAAGCATTTAGAGATGCTAAAAGATCCAGTTCTGCTGGATCAACAGTCTTGTTGATTATCGTGGCTGTTTTAGGAAAGTCTCCAAGAAATCCTGTGTGATGTGAACCTCTGGGCACAGGTACTTCTTGAGACATGGACCTTTTACTCTGCTCCTTGTTTGTTTTTTCAATCAGCAAGGAAAACCCTTCTCTACACCATGTGGATTCTGTTTCCAATGGAGATGGAGCTCATAGCTCATAGAAGGAGGGAGCGCTGTTCCCCAGCAACCATCTCCACTCTTCAGCCTTCATCCCACCTCTATACCTGGACTTCAGCAAGACCTGCCTGCCTGTACAAATCACTGTGACATCACCAGGGATCATGGACCAGGTGAGATAGGCAGTTACAGCTTTGCCTCTTGGTAAATCATGGATCTTTTCTTTAAAAAAAAAAAAAAATCCAATCTCATTTTGACATTCATGGGGCTCCTCAGGTCTGGAAAGTTAATGAAACCTCCTTATATTTTGGAGACTCAGTCAGATGTGGAAGGCATATGAGACCACTCTTGGTCACACCTGGTGGCTGGTGAGAATGGCCAGTTCCTACACCTGTCTGAGATGGTTAGTTTTCTGCCTCGAAAGACAGCTCCCTCTTTCCCCCAAGGCTGCATGTCAAGAAGGTCAGAGTGTTAGTTGTTTCGTTCAGAAAGAAAGATCAAGTTTAATCATTTTTAGCTCTTTGATCAAGATATGTCTTTTCTGATTGATTGTCTATTGCCCGTCACAGAATTGGCTTAGGAAAGGAATAAGACATACTTCTTGTGACTTCTGTTAGCGAGGAGGATGGTAAAATAGCCTTAAAGTCCTTCTTGGCATCAAGATGTAGGAGTCTCTGAGCGGTGCTTTGACTTTGGACCCTCAGGGTCAGAAGTAAAACAAACAAGAAGCGTGACAATAACATCATATACAGTTACAAACAAGAAAGTAGTAACAGTTGCAGGCTTCAGTGTCATTTTGTCCAGGAGTAACTGGGGAAAGGAAAGTTATTGATGAATGGGGTTTGAGAAATGGGCACATTGCCTCACTACACAGAAATTCTGCTTTCTTGGAAGAAATCGGAGAAGAGGAGGAATTTCTACATCAGCAGACTGTAAAGTTCTTTCCACTGAATATAGTAATAATAACAGACCTGTTTTTGTTTTAAAGTAGGAGGTGGGAATTAACACAGCAGTTTATTTAGCAGCACAGATTCCTGCACTTTGATCATGTGTAACTGTATGGCTCTTTAAAAAGAACCAAGAGTGATAGAGAAAAGAAGCAGATTGTGCTTCATTGCTTGTGAGTCAGGACTGGCTTCCTCTCTTCATCTCTTATGGCCCTGTTCTTTTTGTGGAAGAGGATCTATCCCTTAATACCTTTGCAGAGCATGCAGCACTGACTCCTGGAGTCTGACTACTACAGTAACTTCAGCTTCAAGATCCCAATATTGTATAAGACGTGCTGCTGCAAAGAACTGGCACAGTGTAAAACCCAAGCTAGTTTTAGTGGTTCAAGTCAGCCCTGGTGAAGCACTAGGCTTCCTACCCCACTGGCTGGTGTCTTCATTCTAATGACTGCCTCAAGAGCAGAAGGTAAGGCTGTATATCGTGTCCTGAGCTAATTTGACAAATCCAAACATGCTGTTTGTATGATCCCTACCTGATCCAGATCCCATTTGTACTCCTGCTAGTGCCAGCAGACTCACAGTTACCATATTTATCACCATGGGCCATGGCTTCAGTTTTAACAGCACTGAGGGAGACTCAAGGACCGACCCAGGCATCAGGGATTAGTCATAGCTCAGAGAGCTATGCAGGGGTGGAAATGCCAGGAGTTTGCTGCACTTTGGAAATGTGGAATGACTGTGGTTCCCTGTGGTTTGTGTTTTCAGCAACATCAAGCTCAGTGCAATGCAAGTGTAGACACGGGACAGAAAAGACTCACTGACTGTACTGAAATGACAAAAAACTCCTTGGACTGGACATCTCTTTCAGATTACGAGCAGCTGGGTTACAACCTGAGATCAAATCTCTTCCAAGGTGAGGGGACACACATGCCTGACCTTCAAAGCTGGTTCCATCTACGCTTTGCCAGGGCTCAGGGCAGCCACATTGCTATGGGCAGGCATCTGACTATAGGTGGTACTCATTTTCTCCTCTTATTCCTTCTATCCACAGTCACTGCTTTTTCAGACTGTGGTACTTGAGGAAACGGAATCTAGATCCTCCCATTCTATTCTATGTATCCTATCCCTTTCTTTGCATTCATTCTTTTTTTTTCCAAGGTATGAAAAGTAAACATGAGTCATGACTGTTGTTGTCCTCCGTGATCAGAGCTGTCCAAATAGACACCATTTGCAATTCAGTGTCTCCTCTCATCTCCAGTCTCTAGTTATCTCCAGTATCGACTTTATTTTTCTTCAAGACCTTTAGACATGTGGGTCTCTGAAATATCTTGCCCAAACCTCTGTTTCCAAGGTTCCCCAGGATCCTTCCATCAAAACAAATACTGGAAACTGAGCATTCATCCCATTTTGTCACCGTCATATCCAAGAAACTCTGAAATAATTGTCTGTGATTCTAGTTTCTCATGTACCAGCATAAGACACATTCCTTTTTCTTGTACAGTATGTTCCATGTCAAGACCTTGCTGGGTATTGAAGACTGCATTGTCCTCGGTTTGTGTAGTCACACAGAAAGGAAGGACATCTTTCCTCAGGGAGCTCAAAACCATTATTGTCAAGAAAAAGGACAGTGAAGTGGAAAGGATGAGAGATTAAAATAAAGCCCCCTCGTGGCTAAAAGTCAAGAGGGGATGAATAGAGAAGTCACAGTTGGGAATTATTTGTCAAGTATTGTGGCAGAAAAGGAGATCAAGAAGGCTTGGAGTGTTAAGATGGTGGGGTTTTTGTGGGGTTCTACTGCTGAGTATGGAGCTACTCACGTGAATGAGGAGATTCAACATGAGGTAAGTGGGCACTTGACTAAAGAAAGGGCACTGGAATACAAATAATCTTACAGCACCCTCTGCATGTATCTCATACTTGAGGATGAAAAGCAGATAAATTGGCAAACACAAGCTCCCTCCTGGGTGATGATGAAGCTATTGTTCAGCACCTACTCACAGGCCTGATCAAAGGTGCTGCAGTCAACACATGCCTTTTCTTGAGCACTTGAAACTGTTGGTGTTGGTCCCCTTAGCAGTTCCAGGAGTGTAGTAGGGTGATTTCTGCACACAATTCCTTATTTGCTGTTCCTTGCAGGTGGCCCACTGAAGACCCGAAGCTTGATGAGAGATTCCTACACCCCTGATGTAATTCAGAAGGCAATCAGAGATCCCAATAATTGGCATGGAAGGAGGATTTATGAGCTAGGTACGGCTTCTGCAGGAAAAGTATATTGCTGAATTTCTTAGATGGGTGCTGCTTCTGTCAAGGACAATGGATGGGTTTGGGCAAAGTCAAAAGGTGACTAAAAATTGGCATTTTAAGAATAGAGGAGCTCTACTGCTAGAGTAATCCTTGAGGTATAATAGCACTAGGAAGGAGGCTGTATCTGAACTGTGATTTACCTTCTTTACAGGGAAATGGTATGAGAAATATTTCCTCGATCTTAACGTGCAGAAAGCAATGAAGGACAAATACGGGGATAAAAAAGGCAAGCCTTAGAAGATGAAGTGCATTCAGCAAAAGGGATCTTCTTCCTCAGCCATCTAATAAACCTCCATGTAAAACCTGAACCCATTGCTTGCTAACTGTCAGCAGCAGGTTTGTTGCTGGTTCTCTCTTGCCCTCTCTATTAGACTGTCTCCGGGGAGAGCAATGCAAGATAAATCTGAATATGCATGCAAAAAAACCCAAAATACTTTGTTGACCACTAGTACAGCAGGAATGATTAGTGTGTGAGGCACACATCTTTGCAGAGGGATGTGGTGGTGAGAGAAGCCCATACAGAAATTCATCTACTCAGCACCTAAGTTGGAGTAGGACCTGTGAGCAGTGTGAGAGGGTAGAAGGGGTGCGTGTGTCTGTGTGAGAAAACTCATGTTTGCCAGAAGATTTGTGATACTTGGACAGCTGCCCCAGCAGTCCAGAGAGAAATACAGAGGATACACTGGGAACAAACCAGGGTTGCCCAAGGACCTGAATGTGATCTACCTCTCTCACTGAGGGCTATAAATCTCCCACACAGGGAAGCTTCAGATCTCTGTGTACAGAGCAGGTAGACACACCAGAAGAACCAGCTCCCTATTGATGCTTCCAAGGTGAATTCAGGCTTTCTTGCCAGAAGGGCACCAAACCACGTCCACTTAATAACCTGGGCACGGCTCTGTGTGATTGGCACCCTATGAGGGGTAGGCAAGGAGGGTTTTCTGCACACCATTCTAGTTCTGTTGTTATATCTGTCACATGGAGGATTTCAGGGAAAGCTTTTGCCCTGGCAGGAAGCAGCAGTAATGTGTGAAAGCAAATGGAAATTCACCTGAGAAGAGGAGGCTTCAGTGCATTCACTAAAGCCCATACTATTTGCAGGCCAAGCAAGTGAAAAACCAAACAACAGCTTATCCCACCTAAAGGGAATAGGAAAACTGCAAGAAGCCCAGGACTTTTCCAATCTGCCAATCACCCCACAATGTGCACTGACCCTTACTGAAGCTCTCATAAGCCCTAGTTGTCCCTGACAGCCCTTTCCCTAACTCAAATGTCTCTCAGAGAGAAACACGTGTCCACCATTCAGTCTGTACAACCTAAAATTCAAGAGTGTATCTGGACAGTAAGCAAGGACCACCCAAGGGCTTGAATGATACAGGACATGCAAGGTCTTTAGAGCTTCCTGATGTGTTTTTCTCACAAGTTTAATGGTCCTTATTGCAGGATTCTGCCTTCCAGCTCCAAAGTGTAGCAGTTTGGTGCGGCAATCACAAAGTACATTTGTGGGAATAGCGATGCCCTGATCTTTCCCATCTGGTCCTAAGCTTTCCCCATTTTAAAAGATTGATGCTTTGCTCCCCGATATGAACTGTTTTGGGACCGAATTAGGATTGTTATTTCACCGTTGGCTGGTGATTAGATAACAGTATGCTGACTTTGTTAAAGTAGTGAAGGAGGTTAAAATTTAACTAATATTATAATCAAGCGATAATCATTTTCCACCAGCAGTAATTAACCATTTGGACTTCTGATAGTTCCAGGCACATGTCCAAGTCTTTGAAATTAAGGAGACTGGCCAAATGGCAGCTTGTAGAAGCCTCCCTGTGGGTTTGCTTTGTACATAAGTACTAAGTGGCTCCTGCCTGAGCGTACACCCCACTAGCTCCGGCTGAAAAGTGCAGCTCTGTAGGAACAGCCTGTTCTCTGTGTTGCAATCAGCTCTGATGGCCAATGTAACTCCAGGTACATAATAAATGCTGTCTTCTGAGACCACAGCAGGTCCTAATCCAGAAAACATGGAGCTGAGCAGAAATCTAGTGACGTATTTTGGCACGCTGGAAGCAGGCAGTTCAGGGCACAAGCAGCTAATACACAACACATAATGTGGGATGAATCTGCATGTAGAATTACAGATCTATTTCTACTAGACATTAAAAATGCCTATTAGCCATTAGAAATAGACACTAGGGCAGGCAGACTGCAGGATTATGATACAGCTTGAAGTAAATACCCTTTTGCTGTCTGTGAAGGGCTCATAAAGAGACTGGATCAGAAGGAAAATGGACTGAAATGTCCTGTTGGTGCACCACTGTGCACAAACTGTGTATTTCCTCTTGCAGTGGAAATGAAGTCACTTAGTATGCTTTTTACAAATTAAATATTTTATAAGTTCTTAAATTGTATAAAATACTTGGCATTGTATAATGCACTCAAATGGTGACAGTTGTTTGATGACAAATGAACATACATGTGGTGATTCCCCCTTAATTTTCTTTGCTTTGCCAACTGTTACAGGTCAGCCAGGGACAAACACTTTTAGACAGGTGACACACTAAAAGCTGCAGAGATAGTTGAGATGATAGTTTTCAGTGAGGCAGCACAGCCACTGGGAACAATCAGTACCTGAAGTCTCTGAGTGCTGAACAGACAAATTTAGCCAGAACCTTGGTCTGGACCATTGCCCTGTGTGCACTCTGTGTTGACTACAGTGCTTTAGCTACCTGAACATGTGTAGTCAAAGCCAGCTTTGGAATCTCCAAGTGTCATGCCATATGCAGTTAGACAAGAATAGAGCCAAAATAAGTGCTCACTGCAGCTGAAATCTCTCTTCTACCCATTCTTCTGATCTCAGCAGTTCATTCCTTCTTGTTTGCTTTGTGCTGGTGTTGATGCTTCCCTACCTACCCTGTGAACTGAACCAACTTGATAAACCACCAGAAAATCAATACAGAAGAAAACAAAACAAAACAAAAATGAAGTTAATAGGTTAACAAATGAAATTTTCTAAGCAAAGACCCTGTTGCAGACAAAGCGATGCAGATGTTGGGGAACGGGAGTGGAAAGACAGTGGAGGGGGAAATGGCCTTTCCCTGCCTTTCTAACGCAGTGAGAAATTAATTTGTCTCTGCTATTTTGTCTCACTGGACTCAGTGCTCTGCAACACAGATAGCCTATATTTAAGTGATTTTACACGGTCTGATCATTGGGTGGCAGCTCTGAGCCAGTGTTTTTATCTGACAGGGCAGAACTTGGGGAAAAAAAGTGAGATTTTTCTCTGGTTTAGCTAAGCCGTTCACCAGAATTGCTATTTAAGAACTGTTTTGGTCATCTATAAACAGTTAATGCACTTGAAATAAAGATAATTAAACCATAAAGATTTGAAACAGAAGGGGTCAATTGCATCTAAGCTTCTGCAGCACTCTCCTCATTACTTTTTCTTGCAGTAGTGACTGTTTCCAAGTTATGCATCCCTTCAATTGAAGCACAGAGTATTTGGCAGGCTATCACTTTTAATAAAGATTTCCTGTTCTCCAAACAATATTTTTTTTTCTTTTCATTTAACCCTCTAACCTCTGCCTGTCTCATGTTATCCTGAACAATTTCAACCTTTGGTATATCCGCTGTGAATGATTTTGAATAGCTCATACAAAGAGATGGTGACAACTGTAAGAACAGAAGACAGTCACTGCAAAAAACTCTGATAAGAGTCTTCAGCCTGCTATTCAGTTCAATCCTTTGTGCTGTAAAGCTTGCACAGAAGTAAAACTTAAATTCAGAGCTACATCTATCCTGAGGTAAGCCCAGTATTCCTAAAAGAATGGAATACTTACTGCTGATCCTGCCTATAATGGGATAAAAGAGAAATCCAGCACTGCTTGAAGTGTCAAGAGATCACAACAAAAAGGGAGCAAGTGAATTGACTTCAGTGGATTTCACTCTCGAGCACTAGGTTTAAAATACAATCGTGTCTTATGTTTGAAGGTATTCAAAACACTTCTTCATCAAGAGAAAATGGTGATTTGAGGGTTGGGAATTACCAGTGTAGTTCCCCTTGGGAGTGGTAGTGCAAAGGAACTGTGGAGGAAGAAAGTTAAAAAATGAAAACAAACCTCAAATAGTGTGTTCCTCACGGTTCACTTTGAATTTTGTTTGCCACAGACTCCTCTCTGACAGAACCAAGGCTTCATGGACTGAAGCTGCTAAGAGCAGTGACCTGGTAGGAGAAGTGGGATCACTGCACTTCAAAACAGCATCTCCATACAGATGCAGAATGGGCACTCTCAGCTCTGGGCAAAACAGGGGTGAGGGCTACATTACCAAGAAGCTTTCAGGTTCTATTTCTGATTTTAGTAAGCAGGCCTACTAATTTTTATGCTGAGTTGCTATTTTACCCCTTTTAATAACATTTCTTTTTGTTTAAACCCTTGGATTCATTGCTCCTGAGCAGGAAAACTGATTATCCAAGCTCATTATGTGCCCAAGCGAAATCATTTTCTTTTCCTATAACCTGAGAGCTTTGAACTGAAATTGATTAACTATTTTTAGACAGAAGCCTTAGCTAAATCTGGCTTCTTCCACTGCCAATCTCACCTATCAGAGGAGTGCAAAACAAGCCTACATAAATGCAGGTGCATGGAAATTATGACCTGTCCCGTTTATCAAATGCATTAATGTAACTAAGAAAGATGTAGGTTTACTTGAGATCTTTCACCATGTTGGATTAGAATCAAGAGAGGAGAGGTAGCATTTGTGGAAAGAAAATGTTATTATGATGGTGTAATTTTTCAAGTTTTTGGTTTGGTTGTCTAAGACACCTACAACTCCAGAAGGCTTTTCTGAATCTCAAAGCTGGCTACTTTCCTTTTTCAACAGCTCTCTTAGAGTTCTGAAGACCCAAAAGATCTCAATATTCTGTGCATTTTATTCCTTGCCCCTGAGGGATCCACTATCATGTGCAGGTTCTGTGATCATTTAAATGGATTTACAAAGCTCATTTACTTGGTGTGATGGGTTGACTATGGCTGGCCTCCAGATGCCATATATTCTCATCCCTCTCTCCCAGTTGTGCAGCAGTTTTACCCTTTCTTAGATATGTTGTCAGAGAGGTGCTACCAAGCCACTCTGTCACTTGCTCTCCTCAAATGGACAGAGGGAGAGGAGAACTGTTACAGTCCTGCCAGGATTAAATATGGCTACAAAGATCTCCAGTACAGGTTCGTCTTGGAAAAAAAAATACTCCTTTTCAAAAAATATATAAGGATATTTTTGTGGGTTCTGAATGTCTGTGGGGCCTTGAAGGGCCTCCAAACACATCCAGGTGCAACTCAGGGGAAGAGGTTGGTGCTTGACCTCAGTGAAAACTCATGGCAAGGGTGGCCGCTGTGGGGCTAGATGAAAAGAGCACAGGACTTAGCTGCTACTGACAGCTCTCTAACTAGCAGCCCTCTAAGGAGTTAATTGCATAAAACAGAAGATGACCTACAGGGGTACACTGTCTTCCAGGAAGCTACAAGGAACCTTTGGCGGCATCTCTTGTACATTCCTCAGAAGATGCAAGCCTTGGCCTTTTCTTTGCCACAGGAAAAGATCAACTGTCTACTGCCAGCTACAAGTGTTCCAATCCAAGATATGCAAGCACAATTCAGCTTTTGAGAAAAACTATGTTTTTCCTATAAATAAAACAGGGCCAGGGACCATTCTCTGGCCCTCTGGTAAAACGACACAGACCGGCTGTGTCTGCAGACTTGCTGGTCTCCTTGGTCTCCCACAGAGTCTCTGCAGTCTAAAACACAGCTAAAGTTCTGTGTCTCTGTTTTTCAGTTCAAAGTGCACGGCACACTGTGACCGCTGTACTCACAGTGAAAAGGGACGTGTGCTGCACAGCCTGGGTGCAAAGCCTTCCAGAACACTGCTGAAGGACACTGGACATGGCCTACCCTGGTACAGTCGCGTCCATGTTGCCCAGTGGGAATGGTTGCTACGCTGTGCTATCTCCCAAACGCTGCCAGGTTGTTATCTTGGAGAGCACTGGTTGGCACAGGCCGAACCATGGCAGGGAGAGTGCTGACAACAAAGCAGTGCAAGCAGTTACAAGGCAGTGCGTGATACTACATCTTGGCCCTGACTTATTTAGCAGTAATAACTCAGGCAATGTGACTGCTAGCGTCAGCATTTATGAAGCTCACAAGCTTTCAGGGATACTTTTCCGTTAGTTTTTCAAAATAAAGGGCCTCTGTCTCTTACAGGCACTGAATGTGAAACAAGAAAAAGGGAGAAGACAACAATTTCCAAGAAGTTACAAACAAACCCATCTTTCCTTCACATGACTTAGAAAAGGATATATTTAAAAGGGCTGACCCTTGCTCCTAAGAGCCAGATAATTATCATGAAACCCAGGAGTCAATTTAATTTGTGTCAGCTTCCCCGACTGCTCTGCAAGCTAGGATATTTTCCCAAACAGAGCATCATAGTCACCTTCCCACTCTGACTTTGAAGGCATGACACAAATTTGAGGTATTATGGGCAATTTGGAGCTATTTCTGATCACACTGGCTAGGACCAATGCAGCATTTCTTTGTTTACATTCCACTTTCAAAGTCAGACTTTGCTTCAAGGAACAAAAAGTATGTCATTTCTAGGGGATGAGGAGGTAAGGGAATATGTGTATTTTCATGAGAGGGAAGTTGAGTTCAGGCAGGTTGGAAGGAATTTAGCCAACACGTTTTTCACCTTATCAGGTCAACATCTTTTATCTAAACCTGTTTCCAAAGAAAATGCAGAAGAGGAAAGGAAGCAGGTTTCTATCTTCCGACTTCCATCCAGGGAAGCCAAGGTCTGGAGTTGTAGTTATTCCTTACAATTTCCACAGATGTTTGGAAGGTGTACACAGACTTAGGATATAAACAGGTGAAAATGCTTTGTCCTTCTCATTGCAATGGGTGATATCCATGTGCAGCCTGCTCTCACCCGATGGTTAATAAAGAATCTTTCAAGAAAAGAATAGGGGGTGGGCTGCTTAGTCACCCATTCAGCACTTGAAGGTAGTTTATTTTCCTCAGAAGATTACTGAGCTCCTCAGAAGTGTTCTGCTCGTTGAAGACCACCTGACTGGCTGCCATTGGCCAAAAATAAATACTGCAATACTTCTGAGAAAAGAGAGATCACGTTAAGGCCAGGAAGAGCCAGGAGCCAAGGGCACAAGAACACCACATTTGTGATAGACACTTAGGACAAGAACAGGCTTCCAGGCATTCACAATGTGTAATTAGTTTTACAAACTTATCAACCTGTGTTTTAGAAGTAATCTTTTCTAAATAACTTTTACCCAAATAACTTTGCTGTTCTTATTTTTAGGTCCATTCTGTTTGCCCATGTAAACACAGTAGAAACACTGATACAGGCAGTCTTACATAGATGGACACAGGTTTAAAAAACTACCACTCTGAAAGTATTCCTGGCACCTTCATACCCCCTGGATTCGCTCCAACATTTCAATCAACTTTTCCCTCCTTCATGCTTGCTCCAATCTCCAGATCCTCTTCACATTTCATCCTTAATTCTCTAGCTGGAACAAGCTGAGATCCATTTCTCTTTCATCTTCACTAGCAATGTCTCTGTACTGCAAGGGTGTGGGATGGGCAGCTGCCTTATTAAGTGACCCCAGATAGCTCATGGCTGCACCTTACTCCAACCCCAGCTGAGAGGATTTGTTTTTCAACAGAGGCATTTCAGCCATTAGCAGTTGCTGTTACTGACACATTTGCAGGTGGCAGCACCTGGACTGGAACACATGGAATGTCTCAGGGCAACCTACTGGGCCACTGGAAAAAGTGATTCACTTTTTCCCCACTGTGAATCACTTCCAGAGACTGAAAACATGGTTGTTTCATGCAGTGTAAGAAATCTCAGCCTTTTAACATTTCTTAATTCTCTGCATCTACTCAAATACAGTAAACCAACAGACCACTAAATAACAGAAAATCCATACCCACGGATGTTGGCAGCACTCCCTGTGTACAGGGAAGCAGCAAAGCAATAGGTGAAACATCTGTACTGGTACACCACATTGTCCGAGATTTTCATCTCTCTTGGAGCCACCTCCTGATATTTTCAACCACTGCAGGAGCTTTCCCAGCTTAAGTCTGTGAAAAGTCATCCAATTACCTCCAGATACATGCAGGCAGAGATGATCCACTTAGTGCACCTCTTCCCCCAGTCCCAATCAACACATTAATTAGCTGGCAGGTCTACCCTTATTTTTTCTCCATTGTAGTCACTGAAGTTAAATTCATTGTAGTCTATCCAAAATGTATTCAATTTTAGGATTAGATATTCTATACTTCAATCTGAGAATGTTTTAAATACTCAGAATTAGAGACAAGACTTAGTGGATCATGCCCATGCTCAAGGCTCTCTAATCTGGAATCAACCTGACTGAAGCCCTCCTCACCTTCACTCAGAAGCTGCTTTTAAATTCAGGCCCTTGCTTTTTGTCCTTGTCTGAGCTATGACGCAGCCATATCTGTGCCTGATGATACGTATTG